TAATATACGTTGTTCCTATAATTGTTGCCCGATTGATGTGTGTATGGATTAAATAAAGACAAATAATAAAGGTTAGGCTTATGTACAAAATGTAGGTGTTCAAAAACGGAATTCCTTCTTCAGATTGATTTTATTTGATAATATATATTTTGTGTTTGTGAAAGGGCTTGCTATATAATAGCATAGACAATCTAAGGTTATACTGGGATTAGGTATATCATAAGTTGACAGTACCTATTGTCGAATCAGATACACTTTTTTAGGATTTGTCAACACATCCGTGATAAAATAGGTAAGTATTTCTACTGCGTTGTATCTCATTAGAGGAACAAATGTACTTTACCAGGCACCCTTTTTTTTTCGATTTTTTTTTTTTTATCGATATTACGTTTAATGCTGATGAAATTTTGCTAGTGAATTTTTTGCCGGACGAACTTAGTTTCAGAGTTACAGACGTTTTAAGTTCGTGATTTCGAACGGCCGCGCACTGAGCAACGATCCGGCTACAGCCGGGTCCGACTACCTGCTATCGGCCGCCGTGGTCATTTTTTTAAGCGCGGCGAGATCCCAAAATAGTACTATTTCCAGTTTACGTTTTTATCGGCGATATTGAATTGAGTCCCAAATATTGAAATGAGTCCCACTAATATTTGTGGGTTGTCAGAATTGAGTCCAACAAATATTTTTTTGGTTGTTTGAGTTGAGTCCCTTCAGCCTATTAGCGTTATCGAGGAGACACCACGTGGAGGTTGGCTGATTAGTCTCCCAAAAATGTGTGTGCTTGCTTACAAATGCTTTGCTTGTTTATAAATGGTCAAAAAAAACTTTCAATTTTAATAATTTTTAAAAATAATTAAAATAATGTCTGAGTTTAAATAGTTGCTGGTAAAAATTTTAATGAAACAGATTTTAAGTAGTCAAATCTGCTATTTTTTTAATTTTGATATTTGTTAATCTGCTCCCGTAAAAATTGTTCTTTTTTCCAATGTTTTTTTACATGTTTTTTGTTGCATTGCTTCGTAATTTAATATAGGTATCTTACTGTATGCCTAGAAGAGTGACAACAAGAATAAAAATATTCGGATGTCCTGAGTGAAACAATGCATTTAATTTTGCATGAAAACTTTCACAACTGTTAGTTGTCCGATTAGTGCTTGCTGAATAATCACACCAAATTTTGGGGGGAAACTGTCCATCTTCATTGTTTATTTTGGACTCAATTCAATATAGTCCGTGCAAATTCCCTCCTAATAATAGCAAAGGAGACTATGCTTACATTCTTATCTACGTAATCAATTCAAACATATTAAGATAAAAAAACGGGACTCAATTCAATGTTATCCGTTTTTATTGCATCATTATTATTATTATTATTACTATTATTATTATTATTTTTATTATTATGATTATTATTATTATGACTATTATTATTATTATTATGTGAGGTAATGTATTCGTCGAGTGAGCTATTCTTGGTATTTTAAGTGTACGGCAAAAAAATAAAAACCACGACGGGCGGGAGCAGGTAGTTGATCTTGCTGTAACCGTGTTATTGTTTAATGCGCGCCCGCCCGTAATCGCGAACTTAAAACGTCCGAAACTAAGTTCGTCCGGCAAAAAAGTCATTAGCAAAATTTCATCAGCAATAAACGTAATATCGATAAAAAAAAAATCGAAAAAAAAAGGGTGCCCGGTAAAGTACACTTATACCGGCTACTTCTGCAATCACTATTATTTGATTTTTATAATACATGTCATGTATGGTTCCCTTTGAATACTGATGGGTCTTATGGTATCATAATTATTTTGCTTTAAATAATTTTAAACGAGAAGATCTTTTAGTTGTTTTAATATTTAACCAGTAAACACTTGATACCTATATTATATTTTAATAAGAATAGAAATTATTCTAAGACTTTTTAACTAGGTAATTAAAAAAAAAATCAATAGGTATACATATATACCTATATATATCTAATATATATAGATATATGTATATCTAATAATCTTAAATGTTGTAAAAAAAGTACTTAAGAGGACGTCGCAGTCAAATATTTCGAGTACTAAAACACCGCTTCGGACTTCAAATAGTACTCAGAAACTATTAATCGTAGAATAAATCTAAGGATACCTAAAGAAAGCCTGGAATGTCTACTATGTGCGTATAGAGCCATATTTCCAAAAAAAAAATTGTTTACTTATAGTTATTTCAATAAGAATTTTTACTTTTTTCAAACGTTCATAAAACCATTGTAAATAAAGTTATCGAAAAAAACTCTCTATAGGCACGTAGAAAAAATTCTGATCTTTCATATGGTACTATAAACATTTTCTACCACCAAAAGCGTACGAGTACTATTTGAAGTTCGAAGGGATGTTTTTTTAATTTTTATAATAATTATTACGTCGAGAGCTGGCGCGCCTAGCGGCCAATTTATTACACATCTTTATACGTTCGAAAAACCGGTTTGGGCCGACTGCCGTAGCGCGGCGACAGCGATAACGTCAACGGTGACACCGCTATTATATTATTACCTGAAGTAAAAACAGATAACCCAATTTTTAACAATCAATTCTCAATAACAAACAAATATTATATTTTACTTGCGCAGCGATACTGTTATTTAATATTTGCTATTTTATGTTCATTATTTTATAGAGAATTAGCTGAAGAAGCCAGTCGCTAAGTCGCTTGTATGAAAAAGGTAGCAATTGTAGTAAATTATAATTTGTAAAAATTGTGATTTAAAAAATGGTTTAGGGAACGGTGGGAGGGAGGGGTACCTCAAATTATTTTGAGGCACACTGTAAAAAAAATCGGAAAAATATTCAAATACCTCTCCGGAAAACCGAAACATTGTAATACAATGTTTACACCCCAGACCAAAATTAGTGTGGGGCCCCCCCCCCTCCTCAGACCAAAATTGGAAATTTTAAGTTGCTATGTGTAAATTAATCAACAGTCAATTTTTAGTTGCAATAAAATCATATAGATCAGTAATGTATTTTAAACAACATTTTGATTTTTGGGGGGCCTCCATTTCTTTTTTGTATTACCTGGTGTCCGTAATTTCTATATTCGTATTTTTCGTAAAGACGGTTTTTTACTCTCAATCTAAGCCACCCCCCTCATTCAATGCCGACCACTAAAAACGTATTTATCTAACATAAATATTTGAAAAATGAATTTGTCAAACGTTCTAAGTGCCAAAGTATAAAAATTGAATTTTATAATTTAAATTGTATTTTATCCATTACCGGTGTAGTGCACCGGTCGGATGATCGCGTACAAAACACCGTAAACGACCAACGTTTGAATTAGTTAAACTTTTGAATTAATTGTAATAGACATATAATAATGTTTAATAAATTTGATATAATAATAATGTTTAATCAATTTTGAAGTTAATAACTGAGTAGTGCAATCAGTCCTATCGTTAATTGACTACCGACTACTCGACGCCGTCGCTCTACTCGAACATAATCAAATAATCAATTAAAAGAATAAAGTATAATTAAATTATTACAAGGGGACACCCATTGGTCACGTCTTAGCGATCATGCATAGACGCGAAAGGAGGACATGCCTTTATAGGGACCCATGTGCACTACGTGGGTTTACTACACCGGAAAGAATTTTGTAAATTTCAAGTAAGGAAGAGATATTTATTAAAAAAAAACAATCATATTTAAAACTCAAAAATATGTTATGTTTCCGCTAGTGAAATAAAAAAATCAAATTATAAAGTTCAATTTTTATACTTTAGCACTTGGAACGTTTGACAAATTAACTCTTCATTTATACTATAATTTATTTTTCTATATAATTACAATTTATAAATTAAAGAGTATTACTCACAATATATCTCAATTATGATTTCGTATTCTATTTTTTTTTTTTTTTTATAACAAAGCTAAATTCCGCAATAATGTCGGCGGTGACCACCATAATTTTCGGGATAACAACAGATAATCTAAGCTTATCTAATTATATTATTTGTAAATATTGTAGAAATATGACTTTACTTGGGAAATACTGTATTTTTGTTGCACAGAGAAGCCACATTTTTATTTTTCCTATTGTGTTGTGTGTTTTATAGATAAAAATTATAATACAAAATTTACATATGTACACATTGTTTTTTTATGAAATAATATTAGATTTATATATAATTATTATTTAATGAAATAAATCATAGAATATTATATATGACCCGTCCAGCACTTAAAGTTTATAACGGATACTCGTACCATTATACAATTGTTATTCTATTGATGAATTTTTATAAACATGTTTTCAATTATTAATTTTGGATTTATAAATGAATTATCAGAAAGCTGAAATGTTTTACATATAATACTGATTTTTAATGATTTTGTTTGGTGACCTATAATACTATAAAAAAAAAAAACAGTAAAAAAGAAAAAAAACTAAAATATTCATTACGACCATGGCCAATATAGGCTAAGCAAATTTGGAAACACGTATTTTATTGTAACAGACATGCAAAATAAGTATGCTCCAATATAAATGTTAATAAGTAAGTACGCTATACGAGGTACCAAGTTTATTCTGATATCTGAGAAAATTATTTTTACGCTAAAAAAAAGTAATTAAGTTATCAGAATGATTCAAACTATGATGGGTATTGTATTTTCTACTCAGTCCATTGTTATATAAATGTTAATGAACAGTAGCTATAAAAAAGATTTACTCGAGATTGTAACACGCGCGCGAGCTCGCGAAGTAGCGAATGTTTACCGCGACGAATCATACGTTTCCAGCATAATATTAGTTTTTACTAGATCGGCAGTCGGTGATAGAATAATGTGCCGCTCTGATAATACTACAACGCGCCGCCGCAGCGCTCGTATGGGCGTGACTATAAACCACCGCCGCCGCCGCGCCGAGACGGAGAATAACGCCATCTCTCGGGAGTTGTATACGTAACACTTTACCTGCGACGTCCTCTTAATACAAATTTTCCTTTTATAGTAACATTTGTTGTATTATAAGCAAGTTCGATGTGTGCGTCTGTAATATATTACGTAAGAAATATTTCTATATCAGTGCAATTATTAAATTTTAAAAACATTTGCTGTATAAAAAAAGAACTGGTACTGACTTGTAATAAAAACTTCCTTAAGATAATCCTCTGTAAAAAAAAGTGAATTATATATATATTTTTTAAATTTCAATAACCTCGAGTAGGTAACTGTATAAATAAAATATTTACTTCTATCATGTGTAGAAACATTTACAAAGATAAATGTTATTGAAATACTGCGAAGTTTCATTTTTATCTGTAAATATTAATAAACATAAAAGCACTTTATATTAGTCACAATCACCTCCAGAGTTGCGAGGAAAAGCTTTCCAACACAATATGTTTTTTACACGTTAAAGATATATATATATATTTATATATTTTTTTTTTTTTAATAACACTAGATATTTTTTGGAACACTAAATTTTTTTCTTGATCCACAGAAAAATCGATATGTGTTTTGCATTGAACCTTTGATAATTTACATAGCTGGTTTACTTTGCCAGTACGACTACATATATTTACATTACACTGAACAAATTCTGATTATTTTAAGATAACAAATTTAAAAAAAAAACGTCGTTAATTGACACTCTGAAATAAATAACAATAAATTTAAATATGACAAATACTATTTTAGGTTTATTAAACAATTGGTTTTTGCTTTTGAGTAAGACTAAGTAATTGTTTATACCACACTTTTGACTAAATAAGTAGTATAGTTTCCTGTAATTACCATTCATTTTTTAACAATTTTATTTTTTTTAAATATCTAACAGTAATTTTATTTTGACTTAATTTGTTACAAAAAATATAAAGTAACTTGAATAATAATATGTATTTAAGACACAAAAAATAAAATAAAATGTTGTGTCTAAAACTCGCCTTTATAATTAATTACTTTTTATATTTAACACAGAGTTTTCGGTTTAAGGACGAATGTACATTATATATTTTCTTCGTCTTGCGTTAACAAGAAAAACTTCATGCTGGTAAAATGTTTTATATCGTGTCAATGGATCTCTTATTTTTACTGACCATAATTGCACTCGCCTCATACTCACACCAGTTTTTGCCGGATGAAAATGATAATCAGGAACTTATCAACCAACTAAATAAACTTCTAAGAAATGTTGGATGGAGTAGGATCAATCACCTGGAAGTCAATGATCACGATATAACACAAGTACAGTCTTTTTTTTCAGGAATAGATCTATTTATAGCCCCTGAATTTACCGATCAATGTAATGTCACTAAAGAAAATGTGGAAAAAAAATATTGCATGGCCATTATGCTGTTGGGTTGCGTGTATGCAAATGCTTTGCATAAGTTCATACGTTTGATAACACCTCTTATGAACAAATGTGATGTTGAGATACGTCGTTCGAATGGAAGAGAAGGTTATCAAAGATTTCTTCACAACCAAACGGATAATTCAGGTGAGCCCTTTAAAGTACCTCCTGGTAACTATGTCAAATCATGTAAGCTCTTCAACACCGTTTTGGAACAATTTGAAAATAGTAGACAAATGTTTGATTACATGTCACATGCATTGATTTATTTAGTAGAACCGTTGAAAAAAATTAAAAAACATAGTATAATACGAAATATTATAGAAATACTTACGGATAGCGTACTTAAGATTCGAGATATAAATACTACACTATATCCTAAGAAATATGAATACCGCGAAGGCGCCGATGATAATATTAAGAAATTACATAAAAGTCTAAAAATGTATTTAAATGGTCAAGTAAAAGGTGATTTGTGTTTTATAATGAAGAATCATTGCATACTGCCAAAAGAATCGCATAATATTGATCTTAATCAAATTCCTTCGATTGATGCTATATCAGTAGATGATGAAACAACTAGCCAGCCAATTGAAGATGTGGTCATATCTCAGATCAAAGATCATGTGGAAGAGGTGATAAATAAATACTTTTTGGATTTAGGATTTCAGTACGTAAAAATTCCAAATTAATTATTTGTATATTATTTATTTTTTTGTTTTAAAATAAACAAACTGGGTATTTCATAGTATACTTTTTTTCTAACTAGATTTATAATTTGTATTGTAAGTATTTTTTGCTAACTAGAACGTCTCTCGAGCCGCACAATGAGTAAATGTTATTTAAATCTGACCGTATGAATAAAATATAAATATATTCAGGTTAAGATATATTGATTCGATTTCTAACATAATGTACAATTGAACCTTGCACATTATTAAATTTATTATACAGATTGTGAAAAAATAAAATAATATATGGATGCATGCGTTGCTACCGAAAATCCTATACGGAAATTTAATGATTTTATTTATCCTCTTACAAGGACAATTTTCAAAAGAAAAAGTTATTATAATTGTTGCAAATGATTATCAAAACATAGTGACTGAATTTTTTATTATTATTTAACGAGTAGGTTTTTGAATACTTTAATCATTAAAGTTATGTATTATTGTCACATAATTTTATCGTAACGAAATTATTCACTATAAATATCTAAATACACCATAACTATAATCCGTCATTATTCATGTCGACCAACAAAAAAACTCCATTTCAATGAACAAACAACAACGGTGTATATTAAAAAAAAAAAATAATTTAATATTACTTAGATGTCAAATGCGTACCGTTTAACACAGAGTTTTCGGTTTGAAAAATAATGTACATAATATATTTTTTTGGTACTGCGTTAACACAATCTATTTTATGTTAAAATGTAAGAAATTAAGTAACGACATCTTACACATAACCTTTTGAATAATGAAAATATAGCCTATTTGGTTTTTATCTATCACTAATAATTAAACATTTTTGTGTATTTTTTTTTTTTTTTAGACGGAAGACACATTTAGGAGGGATAAATTTTGAAAATGTAACGATATTATATACATTAGATTTAAGGATTAAGATTAATTTTCTGAAAATGTTGACCGGTCGATTATCAGTTTTGTGTCGTCAATTTTTTAGTCATAACAAGCGTTTAAAATCTAGAACTGAAGGTGAAATCGTTGGAGTGCTGTGTTGAGTAATGCGCACAGATAAAATAGTACTACGCTCCACCCTTTTCCCCGTCCTAAATTTAAAACTTGAATAGCTTTTAAAAACTGGTTAACCTAACCTAACCTAACCGGTCTGTAGAGGACGTGTCAGGTCCAATCTAGGTATTAGTGCAAAACGGCAAAAACATTCAAGTATAATAACAATAGTAGCGGAACATATTTAAAAGAGTTAACCTTTGTTCCTGGTAATATGCTGGGTCATTTTGTCTGTTAAACAAATCTGTTAGTTAAACTTCCTTCTTTCCACTATAAAGCATATTGTTCATCCATTGTCTTTCGTTTAAAGGAAAAACGAACACATTTCTTCAGTTAATTATAGTGGATTTTTTTTTACAAAATTGTTGGACAAAGAGCTGACCTGAACTAGTGTACAGCGAGGACATTCAGTCTTGTACTTTCTCTATTTAATAAGTCGTTATTCACATTAAATGTGACGGTGAAGTCATTTGATTGCCGTTAACTTTAATCGTGAAGAACGTTATAACAATAGTGAACGTTATATATTTGTTTTTATATAAAGCTCTGATCTTTTGTCTAGATTCAATCATCCGCTCAAACTCAAGTGACTAACACCACGACCGATTTAGGTAAAACATGACATAGAACGCCATCTAAAAATAAAAATAATGCTGAGAATGAGTAAAACTTTGTTTGAAAATATGCTTTATATGAAACCTGTATAATATGATAAATATCTGTTTAAATCAACACGCAAGCAACAAACGTGATTAGCCTAACATTTTAATTATAAAATGCATTAAAACAATTTACAGCTTGGATATAAGTGAACAATGCAAATAACGTTTAAACGTAATCTCAATAGTATTATGTCATTTTAGAAGAGTCATCCAATAGTTCCTGGTCTAATGGTTCCTTAAGTGGTTGTTGTGCTGGGTTATCTGTGTTTCTGGTTACTTTGTACCATACGCCCGCAATCTTTCTGTACATAAATGTTTGTGGTACTGATTTTTTATTAGTTATGAGACAAGTATCGTCATAGTCAAACGGCAAAACTGTTAAATATCCTGTTGGAAATTTTGTACTCGAAAACAATGCTAAACATGTACACATCTCCATTAATGGGACATGATGGGTATTTCTTTCTGGAAAAAAAAAACATTTTTTACAATTATAATTCGTCAAATTCAGCTTACTATAGTCACTACTTCTGTTTATGGCGCGAGACCCAACTATTTTACTTGTAAAAAATCCATAAATTAATAGTAAAATATGCGTGTGGTCCATATTGTATAACAGTAATAAGTGAGGCATCCTAGACCCCCAGCAGTGCCCCCTGGTGGCAGAAAAGTTAACTAATTGGGCTTCAAGTAAGTCAGGGGTGAAGACATTTTCTATCATACAGATAGTTGCATGCTAATTGAAATACACGATGCAGGCTGGAGGGGGGGGGGTGAAATGCTTAGCGTCAGTCCTGCCTCATAATCGGTGACACCGTGTAAAAATAAATGGTAAAAATTTAGAAACAACTGTATATTACATTAATTATTTATTTTTAAGTGATAATAATTATTTTGTACTTACTGCTGCACTTGCTCGATTGTTGGGCGCAGTCTTTGTCAACATAGTTTTCAATTATTTTTAGTCGTTCGACTAAAAAAAAAAAAAGAGGGGAGTGATTTAAGAGAAGACTATGAGTCATTTTTTCTAGATATAATTTCCTAACAAATTTTTGAATATCTCATACAACATACAAAACAATAGTATTTTATGTTTTCCTACATGCCGAGTTACATAAGTGAAACAATTCTATTTTTTATTATTTTAAATATTTGTTAATTTAGGCTAAATAACATATTTGTGTACTGCTCATAGTAGTTATATAAAAATTAAAATAATATATTAAATTTATACATAAAAACGATTGGTTAAAATTTAGAAGGACTTTATATTTATTGTTAGTGATAATAATCGTGTACTTACTTGATGGTGGTACAGACGTTTCATTGTCTTGTCTTTCATAGTAATCAATTAGTTCTAATTTAAAAATAAATAAATTAGGCTCATCAGTTCATTTTCACATGGATGATACATACCAAAATCTTCGTTTCCGTCGTCACTTTCCTCTGATTTATTTTTATCTTTCGCACTAGTGTCGTTTATACTTAAAGTGCTGAAAGCATCATGGACGCTCGGTGTCCCCAAAACCTTGCGTTTTTCCAATGATTTGCAGTCGCCACGTTCGCCTACACTAGGAATCTTGATTTTGTCTCCTAAAACCCATTACTGTGCGTTAAACAAAATACTAACAAGTTTAACAAAAAAATAATGAAGAAACATATAGTGTGCACACTGCACTGTGACCTATTTTTCGTTTTTGCCAGACTGCATAATAATGTGTAATAAAAATATAGTGATTTTTTTTTTTTAAATTAAATGCGAAATAAGAAAAATATTTTCAATTCTAAGAAACATATTTTAGATTTTTTTGAAGGTTAGTTTATCAATGCTTTTATATATTTTACATTCAAAGGCATAATTTAATTTAACAGTAGTTTTTTTTACAAAACTACTTGTTTGTTCCTATTTTTTACTTTTTTTCTGATTTTGTATAATATAACCAACACCATTTTAAAAATAATATTGATACTGTATTAATATAATTAACATCTCGTAAGTCCTAAAAAACGTTTTAAGAATCTGAACAAAATAGGGTAATGTTTTGTTACACCAAGGAACATAGTGTCACAAGAGGAACAGACGACAAATTTAAAAAATGTATATACAATGGTCTATAACCACGACAACTCTATTTTAAAAAACTTACCTGATAGACGGGTATTTCTATTTCTTAAACCGTTTGTATTAACAAGTAAGAAAGTATTCTTACTTTATTCGAATTACATAACAACACTACAACAAGAGCTTTGGGTACAATAGTTAAATAGTGCATTGATTCTCTCTGATATGATTTCAAACAAATAGAACCTAAATTGCAAGTTGTCTGTTTTTTGAACATTTAGTTGCTAAAAATACTCTTCTTTTTGGGTTCTTCATAGTGTTTACTAGGTCGTGATCGTGGCAAAATCCCCCCCCCCCCCAAAAAAAGGTTTAGTTAATTTATATAAATATAGAGTGCCCCTTAAACTTATACTTTAACTCAATAGCTAAACATTTTTTTTTTAAATTTTGCCACGATCACGACCTAGTAAATACTATGTAAAACTATAAAGAACTCAAGAAGAATAGTATTTTTTTATTATCGATTATCAAAACTTTTTTTGAATATTTTCGGAACCCAAGACTGTATGTACTGTATGAACTGTATGTAAATATTTACCTATTGCCTGGCTAAGTATATTTCTTAAAGCTTTTCCAATAAGATTTCTTCTCTGTTCTCCAAGTTGCATTATAGTTAAGGCCGTAAAATCTATAAAAAATATTAAATGACTGTGTATTGTTAAAAAAATAGAAATAAAAAAATTAAATAGTCGATACACAATTATTACATTATATTTCAAAGAACTGTACTGTAACTACATTTTTGTACAACCAGAACGCAGTGTTAAAACTTAAAGAAAGTATTCACTCTATACTTGAAACTCAAAGACCTTCTTACACATTAATATTGTAGGCAACATTAGGTAGTAAAGCGAAAAGATTAATGGCGTGATCTACAAATTAAAGTATCTGAATCTAAAAAAAAACAGAAAAATCTACACTAGGTGCTTATTAAATTGCTAGGGTTTGAATAAACCAACAGTAACAGATAACTGAAACATAGTTTTACTATTATGACAAAAACGACGTATGGTCTTTACAGTTTTTTAATCGACATTGAAATGTATACCATGTACAAATTAGCGAAGCGTTTATTTTTAAATTATCTCAGTGACAATAACTTCTGAACACTATCAATGCCCCTATATGTTTAGTTCTACTAAGACGAGTCCCAACTTTAAACTGTGTAATTTCAATATTGCAAAAACAAAAAGAAGAAAGTAACCTTTAAATAATAAACAAACCTTAAAGCTATTTACGACTCTCAAAAATGCATTATTACCTTTCTCTGGATGTTCATGAGCAGCAATTTCTTTAAAAATATAGATCAAATAACAAATCATCATTATAGGTACAGTTCCTAAAATTAGGTTTTTATCGAAAGCTTAAGAAAAAAACATATTATATTATTAGGACTGCTTAAATTAAATTTTTGTCGTTTTTTTTCTTTAGAGCTTAATAACCATAAAACTTAAAAATCGCTCTCCTTTTTTAAAATTTAAAATTTTATATTTACCTAATTCAATTGTTATTTTTTTTTGCATAGCGTATTCGAGATTTTTAGATTCTAAAATTAAAAACAATACATTTTATTGTACATATTTTTTATGATTGAACTAATATGTAATATACTGTATACAAAATATAATTCCCAACATAATTATAAATCGTGAAAATGTGTAAAAGTATTTTAAATATGAATTACAGAAGTGTGTTTACTTTCTATGTCCTCTAGCTTTGGAATTTCTGAAATTTAAACAATTGCATTGAGCACTTAAAGAATATTTAACAACTGTGCGTAAATATTTCTAAAATATACAATACAATTTATTACCTGGTAAAACGAACATACGGTTTATCACATCTGGAATTAACATAACATAAATTAACGGGTTTGGATTTAATTTTCTATTCTATTATAAACAAAAAATACAGAGTTCAAGATAGAAAAAGACCTCTGTACTAGTTCCACGATTATATCAAATAAATGTAGACTTAATTTTATGGATGAATTACTATAGCTGCATAACTGTCGTCATTTTTTTCATAAAGTTTCTGTTAAAATTTTTTTATAAAAATGTATGATTTATATCACTGATAAATTTGTTTAGAGATGCATTTGTTTTATTAAATTTTTATAATATTTTCAAATATATTTTTTTAATAGAAAGCATTATCGTTATTTGTTTTGTTATGATATTAATAATACTACCTAAAGTATAGCCATCTTTAGAAGCGATTGTTCTAATTACATGCTCTAATCCATCTACAATAAACAAACAATAATTAGAATTTTAAAAATTAGGTAAATTCATATATTGACACGGACATAAAAAAAAACATTTGATATCTACAGTAAACCATAATAAGCTATTGGCGAAATTTGAAACTTTAGGTACAAGAGAGCCTCTTATGACTTGGTTTTCATCTTACTGTGCGTTCTCAAATGGTAAAAATCATGAGGGTGGTAGCAGGTAAATTTTATGTTTCTTCGGGTGTTCTAAGTTTAAGTTGTTATAAGCTATCAGAAACGTGGAATTTATAAAACATAACTGTTCCGAGTGTATGAATTCTAAATGTATGTCAATATATTATACTGTCTGTATCCTTGGTAAAATAGGTTCTCGGATTTGGTTCAGTTATTTGGAACCCTTTTCAAGTCAGCCTCAAAAATAAACTCGAGAAAGTACAAATGCGGATCCTGCGCATGATTGCTCATAAAATTAGTATGGCTGGTAAATTCCTACGTCATAAACAATATAAGCTATTTGTCTATAAATTATTGAAATATAATATGGTTGACTGTTCGGAGTTATTGATCTAAATCGATTTAAGAATAGCAGCATTAATGCACAATTCACCGATCCTTTTTATACTCCAAAAAGCTATCTAACCCACGTCCCATGTTTAATAGTCTATTGGTATCGTATAATGAAGTGTCCAATTGTGTTTTTTGTCTCGATACTTAAATCAATTACTTTTAAATATTAATTTTTAGCTTCTATTATTACTTTAGGATTTTATTATTGTTGTTGTTGTGATTGTTATAATTATTTATTCTCATTGTTGTATCTGTTTACTCATTTTAACCTTCGAGGGTGTATTAGTAATAAAATAAATCTTACTTGATATATATTTATCTTGTACAAAACAATCGTTCATATCATAAGCACGCTTAATGAGTGCGTCTGTGATACACAGTTTAAAAAATGTATAAGTATAGTAAAATTTAAAAATTAAGAAGCTATTTTTTATAAAAGAAAAATGTTACTGACTTGTAATGACCAGCTTCCTCTTATACTCAACTGTAAAAAAAAAAAATGAAATATTGAATTTTTTTAAAACTTACTTATGTTACTGTTAAAATAAAATAATTACTGAATTCTGTTGAAACATTTACAATGACAAATAATATGAAAAAACAGAGACGATTCATTTTGATCTGTAAATAATAATAAACATAAAATCAAATTATAAGACTGTTCTTTTTTTTTTTTTACAAGACCCAATATATTTCCTAGATAGCTAAATTTATTTTTCTATATAGCAAGGTCGAACTTGAAAGATACTTTATTAGGCCGAAATTGTAGTGAGGAACCAGCTAAGGCTGTAGTTGTACACGGAATCGGCCCGACTCATTATCCGCGTTCTGACCATGAATTTTTTGTTCAGGTTTGTCTTTCCGGTATAACGTGTGTGTCATCGTCAAACTTGTTGTTACCGTGTTGGCGCATCCAGTTTTTGGAAGCACTAACTTTTTACCGAGTAACGTCCCGAATTTACCGAAGGATTTCCCTCTCCCACAGGAGTAAACGGAAGACGTTCGGTTACCACCTCCGACACCGGATGTTTTCTACTAAAACTTTCAGGCTTCCCCGGTTGTGCGGTGAGAAATCGAATTTTTATATGGCGTTGACCGGTGAAAGTTTGTTGTCGGGTAGTTATCTTTATTTCCTGGTAAAATTCTTCCATTTTGCGGTTGAAGGGGTTGCACACATGCACATGACACATTGCAAGGTATTGCCGAGGACCCTATACGTTTCTTTCCAACTCGAATGTTCGGACGATCCATGGTCGTGATGTTATCTCCAGAACATATTTTGCTGGGACAGCTAAGTACTTAGTTTAAAAATCAGTGTTGTTCCAGTAAAAATATTCGTGATACAATGGAAAGAAGATAACATTTTGGAGAAAATGTCAAATTCGGTTATTAATAAAACTACTTTGAACTAAAGTTATAACCGTTATAAAAAGTATGGAAATAATATCTTATCCGGCAGTACACATTAATTTAAATAATGAATAAATTAAAAATCGATTAAAGTAGTCTGTTCAAAATTTCATCGTCTTTCGATTTCATCAAAATGTATAATGCCCTGCTATAACCACTATTTTTTTCAAAAATTGTAACTATTTTTAAATTCTAGTATAAATACCTACTTATTAATTTGTTTCTACGTTATCTAAATATACGTATGATAAATACTTGGAGTTGAAATTCGATTTATATGGCCCAACTAATGATTATCGTTAAAATTGTGTTACTTAAATAAATAACACAAAATGTTGGCCCTATTTAATAAATCCGTTTACTTATTTTATTATTATTATACAATTAATTTATTCATTATTTATATATGTTTTATAAAAAACAAATTACTATTATACTTTTTACGTTAATTATTTTACAAAAATGTTAACGTACACATTTGCTTAACAAATATGACTGGTCGATAACCAAATTTTGAATAGTAATTTACATCACAATTTTAGTAGCTATGTTTTTATGTTTTATATACTTGGGTATATTTTCGATATTTCTCGAAAAAATGTAAAACGTTTATAGAAGTTATATATTTTTTTTCACTTATGTTTGTAACAGTTTGATCGGTATGGAAAAAAGTCGATATTGGCTCATGCCTACTTTATAGTTCTAGGGTAATAAATTAAAACTTTTGAAGTTTGATTGTTATACTTACTTAAATTATTGGACCGTTAGAATTTCTCAGACAACAATAGTAACTTGTTCAGCTTTTCAAACTAACTGTTTGAAAATTGTCTTTTTACGACCTGTAAAAGGGTACATATTCCAACCGAAAATGTAGAAACCTTATAGGTTTTTACAGAGTACCGTGTGTTTTTATATACACAGCTGGTTCATTTTTTTTTTTTTTTTTTTGCTATGGTTTATCACGTACAGCCATTTTATTCGACGCAGAATTTATACTACGTTTTTTTTAGTTTTAAATGTAACAACAAACTCATGTCGAATGTTTACATTAAAGGAACGGCAAGCCGACATTTTTTAACGAAAAACACTTAGAAATAGATAATTTATGGATGTACCGAATTATATTTTTTTGAAAATGTTATCGTGGCATGACTAAATTGTTTCAACGGTTACAACTATCAAAACTGTAATACAATAGTACAATTTGAATAACGTACATTATATGAAGTTTTCTTTCATTAAAGTGAACACACCCAGCCAAAAACTGCTTAATAAAAAAAACTGTAATTAAAGATTGTAGTATAGGTAGTAAAAATATTTATTTGACATTCCTGGATACTTTATACACTGTGGTACATAATGTAGGTATGTTTAGTCCAATAAAATCCATTTCTACTGCTGACCTGAGAAATAAATAAAAACATAATTTATCGTCCAACATAGGTCATGTTATATTTAAAGGACCATCTCGCGTTATACCTTGGTGCACCTGTATCTCTTTGTAGCCTCCTCTTATTTTTTCTTGGTGATACTATTTTTATGAGAATTGACAAGATAAAATTTCGAATGTTATTATCAAATTCCATAGCGACGGGCAGGTTCACGACACGTAATTTCAAAGACGTATGGTAAAGTATATAAATATAATATAATACAAATTAATTATTTTATATATTGTTTAAGTATTGCGGCAACTATCAATTACTACAATAATAATAATAATAATAATGTAATTTATTAGTCATGAGCCATAACCATCGATTTTAAAATATACCGATAAGCGGTGCTGTATACACAAGAATGGCATCTCATAGTATGCTGGAAGTATATATTTTAAATCAATGGTTATGACAAATCTATCATGTTTATCAATGACATACCAGTTGGAGTTTCCAGAATTTCATGGCCCTCCTGTTTGTCTTAATGATAAACTAAAATATTTTTCTAGATCCATAGTACAACAGAAATATATTTTTCAGTTTATCTATGTTAATTTACATAACTGTTTTATTTGTTTCACTACATACATTTATGACTACACATATTTACATTACACTGCATGAGTTCTAATTTTTTGAAGAAAACAAATATAAAAAAAAACGTTGTTAATTGACGCTCTGAAAAAAATAACAATGAAATTGAAAATATTTAATACATTACACAGTATTGTATAGCTTTTGAGTAGGACTAAGTAGTTGTTTATACCGTACTTTTAACTAAATAAGTAGTATAATGTCCTTTGATTACTATTAGTTTTTCAACAATTTTTTTTTTTTTTAATAACTAACAGTAATTTTATTTTGATTTAATTTAATACTAATAATATAAAATTATTTGGACAAAATAATATGTATTTAAATCACATAAAATAAAATTCGCATTTATAATAATTTTAATTTAATATTCTTCATTATAATTTTATCACTAGCATGTATAAAAAATTTAAAGCTAGATAGTGTTACTTACTTAAATTTTAAAAAGTAATAAGCTTTTAAAAAAAATATATCGGCCTGTTGAACTATTTTGATGTGACTGTCTTGTATTTTGTCTTCGGATTGAAATTAATATCTTTATTCTATATAGAATTTGGTTTGGGACTTGAGCAGTTCGATTTAAAAAAAAAAAAATTAAACTAAAAACACTTTATGGTGAACTCAGGCCTGTCAAAAGTCATGTCCGCTATGGGGATAGTGCAGACATTTACTTGGGTATAGTAAGAATATTAACGTTATAAAATATACTTTCTGTAGAATATTATAAAACTATTAAGTATCTGATTAAATAACCACATAGGCAACAAATTTGATTATTATTATTAGTAAAACTGTTTATTATGAATTACATTCAACAGTAAATTAACAACTTTGATAATAGTGCAAAATTCAAATAGTATTTAAGTAAAAAAAATAAACCGTAAAATTATCATAACAGTTCCTTAAGTGGTTGTATTTTGTTGCCGATGACTTGGCACCATTGACCTTCAACTTTTCCGTATGTTTTTTCAGTAATGCCGTTACTTAGGGTACAAGTATCATTAGAGTACTGAATATCTGTTGTATATGTTCTTGGGTATATTATACACATGTACAATGCTATCAATTGACACATCCACGGTATAGATATTTCCTTTTCTGGTCCAGCTAAAAAATTAAAACATTTTTTTTTTTAGGTATCTTTTATTGTGTTTATTGCTAAAAATTAAAATTAGTTGTATTCTTGTAATATTTTTGTAAATTATCTCTATTAAATACTTTGTAGGATAATAGTGATAAAACGTACATAATTTATACAGTGGTGTATTGTGGCGTATACTGTACTATTTCTATTTTTTGTTATTGTTGCGTATAGGTTAAAAAAATATGGTGTGAAACAATGTATATGGCTAATATAAACCGTATAATATCTACCACATTATTATTGTAATTTGTTCGTATCAATAGCTCGAGAGAAAAAAAAATGGATGTATAAATATAAGAAATAATGGTTTAAAAGCTATTCCAACTCATTCACCTAGTGCTCGACTGATTCTATATTCTAAGTTGTCTGAACCAAGATGTCTTCGCTCATTTATAAGATTGCACACATTTTCTGGGTTTCCATAATCTGCAAAAGTTAATAACTAACCGCGTTAATAAAAAATAATTTAGTTTTATGTAATAGATATATTACTGTAAATGAGAGATTTCAAACTGAAAAATTAGGTCTCACACCATTTCCCCAAATAAATGTCTTCTTTATTGTAATTATTATGAGATTTTTAATCCACCTTTCAGCTTTAAAACAAGTAGTGAATTTAATATGTGCTACCGGCGGGTCTAAGTATAGGTTTTACAACTATTACAACTCTATATTAGTATTTACTTATCGTCCGATTCAATATATTTTTTAAAGCTATTCCAGTAAGCTTCCTTCTTTTTTCTCCGGGGCCTGCCAAAACTTTTCTAAAACTTCTAAAATCTGCAAAAATGATTAAACGACCGAGTTGATAAACATTAATAATAATATTTATTACTATTATTAATATATACCATACAATTATTATTATATAATACTATAAAAGTATTAACTATTTTTATAGTAGTCATTCAACATTATCTCTACATCATTTTCTATTTAAAACACAAAACAATTTAATATTAAACATTAAAAAAAATATGCAAATTTTAACTTTAAACAAGCCTGAAAGGCTTTTAACGAACGTCGAAAAATGCATAATTACTTTGGACTTCAGGAACAGGAATATCTGTAACAAATAATTTATCAAATAACAGTCACTATAAAACGAAAATTAAAAAAAAATTGTACAAAAGCATGTTTTGTAATTACTTTCGTTTGAAACATGAGGGACAGGAATATCTGTAACAAATATATCAACTAACAATGACTCTAAAAAAATTAGGCTAAATAATTAATGCGAATTATTGTATTAATATTAAATTATTTACTAAGTATTCAGCAAAAAACATAAAGCCATAATAAGATTGAACTGTAATTTAATATTTATCGTTTTTCTTTAGAGTTAAGAAATTTAAGATTTCAAAATATTTAAGACTATGAAAATGTTTGCTTAAAAATGTTCAATTTTATATTTACTTAATTCGGATTGTATTACTTCTCGCAGGGCTACTTGGGTTTCTATTAATTCTGTAAATTAACATAAAATAAATTGAAATTATACATTTCTTGTGAACGAAACAAATATTGTTATTCATATTATGATCATTCTCCATATGTATAAATAATAAATTTGTGTAAAGTATTTTAAATATGAAATATATAAATATATATATTTTTGCTTACCATCCCATCCGGTATGGAGTCGAAATTCTAAAAATTAATACAAAAATAATGTGTACAAATATCAAACAATTGTGTGGTAATATTTCCATGTAAACTATTACCCGGTACTGCGAACATATTATTCAAACGTCCTGCAATTAACATTGAATAAATTAATAATATTGGATTTAATTTTCTATTTTATAATAAACCAGAAGAAATCGTAAGAAAAAAACATAGATATTAGTAACTTGGAATAAATTTGCTTGGCTCTATTATATGAAACTGATTAAAAATTATGAAAAATAAATTGCGGAATCGAAGCAGATATGGCGATAATAAAATTATTAGATGAGATTGACACAACATTTATCTAAATTTGTTTTTATTATTATATAATTATAACTACCTAAACTATGCCGTCCTTGCTGAACAATTGTTTTAATTACATACTCCAGTCCATCTGGATGAACAAAATATACGTTTGAGCTGTTATAAATAGTATAAGTAATAATAATGACTTATAATATTATAAGTTTTAAATAGAGCCGTAATTAGCATACATGTGTAGAATTTCGTGTAGTTATAATTACACGTGTATTTAAAATTATTTGTATAATTAGACCAGCACAATTACTATTGCCATGACAAAAATGATTAATAAAGCATTTCCTCGTCGACTAAATAATCTAGAAAGGTTAATGCATATTATCAAATAATACTGGGCTTCCACTAACTTCATCCAATTGTTATAATACTATATCTTAGTGACAAGCATTAATTAAAGAATAGTATCACGTATAATTACGGGTCTTATTAAAACTCACAGTCTTAAGAACACTTGTAATTGCAGGTACCACGTGTAATAGGCAGCTCTAATTTTAAACAATGTCATAATAAATGTATACATCATCAGAAATAGCACTAGCTTACATGTTGCTTTAAATTATGATTATTTTACTTATTGCTACTCCCCCTGTTAGTTCGAATAGTCACTCCCTAAAGCCAATTTATAAAAACCACTACTTTAAATAAAAATAATTTTTATAACTTATGTAGATAAAACCCAAAGTATTTAGAACATTGATTCT